GACTGTGCAGCCTTCAAGATGAGAGGATCCAAAGCGATTTTGAATTTTCCGTTGGATGCCGGAAAATCCGACCCGCCGGAAAACACTGGCCGGAAAAGGAGAAGAGTAAAGACTGCGGAAGATTGCACAAGTCCTATCTGAATATGAATATTTAGAGAGTCCAAGGGCGTGTTTGGTTAAGCTTAAAAAAAGCTAATGTATAATTAAGAGTTTGATTGTATGTGAATATACGTTTTAAGATAAATATCTTTCTTTATTTATTAGTCAAAGATGAATAAGTTAATTATTTTAAAAATAATTCATATATTTTATTGTTAAAATAAATAGGTTATTTTATTTATTTGAAGTTTTGTAGTGGAATAAGTTTGACATAAAAAAAAGAAAAAGAAAAAAAAGAAATATAGAATAATTTTCAGACTATGTTACCTAAAAATATTTATGCATTTAGCCATTAACTAACACTCTTTCAGACTCGACATTTTGACCTTACCATGGATGAATTAATCTGCTTGAATAGGGTCACGTAGGCCCTCTTCAAATAGGCAACGCCCACCATAGATATGACGGATTTAGCTAAATGTGTCAACCTTGTTCGAACAGCTTTTCCCTAAATAAATTTACATTTAAGATTTAAAAAATAACATTGGACAAAAAATTATCTTCTTATCGTCAAAATCAGTTTGAAATTTTTATATTATCATAGTTTTACTATCCAAAAACTCAAGATCTTTTTATAAACTGGATTTAGTGTCACAATGCAAAATAAGTTAAAGTTTGTTTGGCACAATGAAAACCATCTTCCTGAAACTCAGCATCACGTTCTCTTAATAAAATAATTTTTTTCTTTTACTTTTTAACCACACATTCTTCAAAAAAATCATTTTCACTTCAAATAATCTCTCAAAAATATTTAATAATTTATCAATTATCCTATATAGATTAATATTTACTAAAATGCATCAATTAATGCCGTCGAAGCTCAATTTCTTCCAGGTAAAGAATTGACTTGTTTGGAAATAATTTTAAAATATGTATTACTATCTAACATTAGTGTGAATAATCATACTTAATAAATTCAATTAAATGAATTACGTAACCCCATATTTAAGTGAATCTACCATCCAATTTCATGTAGCTATCACTTAAACTTGTACTTGACACCAATTGTACAAAATAATATTACTCTTTGAAAATGAAAAAAATAAAAAAGTAATTTACCCAAAATTGTAAAACACACTACCTTGCCCCAAGCCCGCCATAGGAATTACCAGCTCGTGACCCTTTTGGGGCCAAAATTGGGCTATAGTATTCATAAATTAGGCCTAGAACATTTTTAACCCACCCCAAAAGTCTATGAATAAAGCCCCCCGTCCCGGCTTGGGGAACCCTGTCCCCAAGCCGGGACATGGAGCAGGGTTGAAAGTCTATCAAGTAAAACCTCCATCCCAGGATTCTGAACCTTGTCCCCAAGCCAGGACACGGAGCAGGGTTGAAAGTCTATCAAGTAAAACCTCCATCCTGGGATTCCTGTCGACAGATTCATTCACCATGAATAACTAATATGAGTTGACTGCCTTAACCGTCACTGAAAAACAATCTGGTGACATGTTAGGCTACATTCTCACCAGTGTGGTGGACAAATCTGTTTGGAAACACAGCTGATTTTGAATACTAGTTCTCATTTGATTGTTCATCCCCAAGGAAAAGGGTATAAATCTAGACATAATCTTTAAAACAAACTCCAAAAATAGTTGCAAAGAATCTAATAAACAAGTGTGTGAACAGCTGAACCACCAAATCTCAATCAAAATAAATCTGATCAGCTAGACTAGCTTTCGCTAACAATGAATAAACCAGCAACAAGAAGAAAAAAATTTAGTCACTTGCAATTATACATTTTCAATTTAGACACAACAGAATAAATTTGCTTATCCGCTCAGATATTTGCAATTATTAACGTATAAGTAATGACACGGACACAAGATCCTTACATCAAGGAACATAACAGGGTCGCGTCAACTACATGCAGATGCACATTTTACAAGCAACATTCATGTCAAATTTCTTGGGAAAACATCTAGTGAAGAATATGTCTTGGTAAAGTGAAGAATGAAATCCTTAAAATGTGGAAATGGAAAAGAAATCCTAGGCAGGTGCGAAGCTATTTATTCTTATGAACAAATCAAAGGTTCAAGACCAGGCCTATTTCTGACTTACGTATGTCAAATGTGAAATGTTCTCCAATTACAAAATTGGCTACAACAACTTGACTAGAGGGGACTTCGACAAGTACATAACTTCAATTGGTTAGATAAAGAGAGAAGTAGTAACCTTATGATACTATCCTGGTCAGAAGGTCTTAATCAAGTAATTCCTTGGAAGTATTTGAGGCCAAATATGTTGAAGTTTCATTATCAATTCATAAAACGGTTTGCCTAATTTTGTTGGTGTTCTTGTGTGTGAAGAAATAGTTTAGAGATGAGGAGCATGCATAAATACTGAGGAGCAAAAAAAAGTAATGCTTTGACTCTAATACAAAATAATGCTAAAATCATCAACAATTGGAAAAAAATATGTAACTTGTAGTTTTGAATAAATCGATGCATCTGGTAAAAATAACATATCCTATTTTGGTAAGTAAGCCATATCTCAGAAATCAATACATACATGTTAATACTAATGCTTGCTTATGGACAAGTCTGTCTCATGCCCCTGTGTAAGAACATGCTCTACTTACCACATCATAACTCGGCAATGACTGGTGAAAGGGTGAGATACACGCCCTAAATTTGAGCACTAGAGATATCCATAAATGGAACATGCCAATGACAGAGTCCAATTACTCTAGATGGAAGTTATCCTCATGTTGTTGATCTGGTCAATTGTTTGCTTATTAACTCTTTCCTGTACCAATTCACATTTTTGTACGAAACTAGGTTGATTCGTGGATGCCAGAAGTCGAGCCCACATCCTGTCTGTCAACTTCACCGTGTTTTGAGTCTCAGTTACACACTGTAAATCCACACATACAAGTAAAGATCTTGGATAATTTTGTGTGTATATAAAGTGCAAAAACATGCTAGATTTACCTAAAATAAACGTGTGTATAACCTCTCCGGATAACTTGTAGTTAGTGTAACGTGTAATACTGGAGAAGTCACTCCAATGGGCTTCATCACTGTGTTAGTATGTACAGTCTAATATTCAAATCTTCCAACCGTCATAATATCTATGTGCCCCTTCTATATATTGCATTTAAAGATTCAGCTTCGGCATCTACGCATTATTTGTGAAGGGTATAGAATATGTGTCGAACCAAGCAACAGAGAACGTGAGAGTTTCATTATGACTAACAAACTGACAATTCATTGTCAAACAAGGGCTTAGAAAAAAGACAATCAAAATTATGACTCGGACATTAATTAATTACTGAATGAGAAAGGACAGGTAGTCATGTTAGGCAACCCACAGATTGAAGATAAATTCCTAAAATCAATTTGTGGATATTAATTACTGCTGGGACATGCTCTGTGTTATGTTCCATTCAAAAAAGAATGCAGTGGATTAGGAAGTAAACTGCATGCACCATAATATGCTTACACTGATTGGAATATAAGCATGTCTGCTGTTTACAGGCCCTACAGTGAAGCCTGTGTACCCCGCCATGGCTCCATGCACGGCACTTTGAGCAAGAAGTGTGCAGTAGATGTTATCTGATGCATTACTTGGAATAGCTCGAATCATGTATGTAGGATCTGCAATGGAAGTACATACAAAATAGAAATCAAGAGTTTAGTGCAAAAAGAATACATATACAAGATTAGTATGTCAGTAACAGTAATGAATGTCCAGTTGCTGCATTCAGATATGCCAGCAGAAAGAGTAACTACAAAATAGCATATGTAAACATAACCCTCTGTAATAGGCATCTTAATATACATCTAAAAGAACTTTACAGCGACAATCTCCCTGCTAGGCTGGATAGGAAGGAAAAGAAAAGGTGAAATGATGAAATAAAAAGAGAGGGACTGATTTAGCACCAGAGTAATAATAGCTTGGGCTTCTGAGAATATTTTTTAACAAAATGTCTGGATACCATCTTACTATGTATAGAAGATCCTAACGATAGCCATGCTTCACAAAAGGTGAAATTCAACTTAGTTCTACGCCCTCGATATTAAATACTACATTGACTTTAAGCTGCTGAGCTAAACAGTTGCAATTGAACACAAGAAACAAAACAAGTTACGTGGCCGATTTTCCCTCGATGCAAAAATGTTCCAACCTTAATCCTGCAATCCCCTACTCAAAGATGCAGAAAGTACAAGATCAAATAGCACATTACTTTTATTATTCCAATTTTATATGAAATGCTCATCAATAGATGAAATTTCTTGGTTCTGAAAAGGGTGAATTACATTTACCATTCAAAAGGAAAAGATAAACAACCAAATAAATATTAATCGATCCTAAAATGGGTAATTTTCACAGAGCCCCTTATTCAGTAAATCACTCTGGAAAAATGGAACTTGGTCATGAAATAAAGACCCTTTCCTGTTAGATTTCCATCCATCAATAGTTAAAGGTATCTTCACATTATATACATCAAAATACTAAATGCCCACGACACTTTATGCCTTAGACATCCTCTCCTCACCATCATATACTCGTCTCCAACTACAATAAATTTCCACGTCAATATTAGTTACACCATTCCCCACCAAGATTGCTACAGCTGGACCAGGTCATTACCACTGCCAGCACTGCAGCTGTCAAACCAGCCTCAACAACCTTCCCAACCGTTAAAGCATTATCTTTCTTTCTGGACCAATTACAGAGTCCATGCAATGAGTGCTTTGAAGGGAAAGTCCTTACTACAGTTTTTACGTGAAAATTTTGGAGATTATTCTTCCAAAATGGAATCTGCTGAGAGAGTTTAGCTTTGGGTAATAAACTTTGGAATAAAATTCTACCATCATTAGCTCAATTGCCCACTACCTGATTGTAACTCTACCATAGCTGTTGTACCAAACTTAACTGCCCAGATCCAAATGGAATTCTTGTGGTGGATTTAGTAGACACGGTGTGGTCTGGTTCTATTGGTAAATCAGGGTCGTTTCAAGGTTTTCTGTTATCAATGAAGTCAATGGGTGCCGATTGCCAGTAAATTTTGGTAGTGATGTTCTGTTGATAGTGATTGTGCATGTAGTACTAATATTAACAGTGGTATCGCCAAGCACCAGTGGCAGTGAATGGCTTGTGGCATCGGTGTACTGAAAACAAAGACTCTTTCTTTCTTCCCCTTAATGCTTCAACAGGCCTGAATTGACAGTATTTAATTATGGTTGTGATGGCAATAACAGTATCATGGGAGGTCATGGATGTAGCGACAGACAATAATGCAGTGTCTTATTTCCCATGAGATTGTGGTCTTGTACAGAGTGCCGGTGCTCAAATTTGTGCTGGTGTCCTTAGTGGGCCACTGGATGATAGTGTCAACAACTTAACTGGATGCTTTAAAGAAATGATTATTTTTTCTCGGGGAGAAAAAAGAAAGAAATTCTGATCAAAGGATGAAATTGTCTTTCAGTAAATCCAGGAAGGAATCATAGATGAAAACCTATCAAAAGGGTGTCTTTAAATGGTGGCCAAGCTATTTTCCCAATCTGAAGGGGCTTAGGAACATTAAACATTTTAAATTAAACAAACAGAATGCTGGTCTTCTAAAATTTAGATCATGTAGAACTTTGAAAATACCTATATATTTCATATTGATCGCCATCTTCTGAACATTTGTGAAATGATCCTGCCGCATGAATCATACATTTAAATTCAAATTGATGGAAACCGGAGTAGGAAAGGAACTGAGTACGTAGAGCTGCTAGAGCATCCCTTTTTAACAAAAATACAATTAATTATACAATAAAGTAGATCTAGACACAAGAACAGTGTCAATTGCCATCAGATTTTATATGATGTCACTGTAGCTGTATTGGACAATGAAAATGTACCGGACATGGCAAGAAGAAAACCAAGTATTTAACTAGAATAAGATATGCATATGACAGGTACTTTGGGTCCAGCAACACTACTAAATATCTTATTTGACCAGAAAGCAGATAAAAGAAAGTAGAAAATAAGGTAAAAATACAATCCAACTACAGACACTGATGACATGATGGAACAAAAAGGGAATGCTGAATTAATTTACTCTTTCCTATCATTCAACTCATATTCCAGTAATGAATGCTGAACCATAAAGCCAGCGAATCTCCCGTTTGAAGATCATCAAGCATCGCTGACACAGCACTTATTAACAGAAACAAACAAGTGCATTTTCTAAGAGAACCATAAAGCCAGTGGAATTCCACTTGAAGACCATCAACTCATCAAGTATCTTTGACAGCAACACTTATAAAGGGAAACCAAATGGAAGCTAAACAGCAACAACCATGTGCATTTTCAGTGTGATGATAGATTTCTAGAATACGACAATTTCAACAGACAAAAAACTGTAAGGAAATACATAAAATCATCTGCTAGGTACCTTAATCTTTTGTGTCAACCAAAGACCAGAATCCAAGAGTAACCTGTTTCCTGATGCATCTTTCTCATCAACTGCATGCATGCTCTGAGCAACATAGTCCTGCCCTGCTCCTTCAGCCAACACAATAACTATATGCCCATTTTCTTTCAGCCTCTGTTCAATAAATTCAAAGAGCCCGCCCTGGCCTTCCAAATAGAATGGGGCCTCTGGAATCAAACAACAATCCTGTCATGATTTTATTACTGTGAGCAAACTTGCAATAGTCTCATCATTTGTAGGAACAGTTTTGCAGTCACACCCTTTCAGAGAATTCAGACTAGCAAACATAAATTTTGGTTTCCATGAATGAAAGAATAGTCAAGAAGATTTTTCAATACTAGCCCAAACAAGTTTTGAAGATAAAAATCCAATCACCATTTTGCATACACCATAATGGGTACAATTACAATATCTTAAATAAGACAGTAGAAATTGTTAAAAATGCTTCAATCTATTGTGACTGAATTTTTAATGCCTAAGATTACCCACAACTGTAATGCAAAATTTTCAATTACCGAGAGGCAAAATAGTAAAATACACACTCCCAGGGTTTAAAGTATCTTACCACATCTCGACTAGCCAAGGTTGCATGCATAGCAATGAACCCTATGAGAATGTGATCAGTAAAATAGCAATAAAAAGTTCAGGCTGACAAATTTGTTACTAGAAAAAACTATTAGCTCTTATCACACACTACTAAGCTACCTACCACTGTATCTACCCATAAGCTTGACAATTCCGACTCCATTTTCTACACTCTCAACCTCCACATGTGCAGCATTTATAGCCCTCTGAGCCTCCTCCACAGCAGTATCAAAACCAAAAGATTTGTCTATCACCTACAATGAACAGATGAGGAAAAAAGAAATTTACATCCTGTTATGGTGTTAAATATTTTTAAATTCAAGAACGCTACTTTAAAATAATCAAAATCAGAAGAAGCTACAAACCTAGCAAAAATATTGTCATCTTCACCTCAATTAACACATAGATCCATATGTAATGGAAAATTCAGCAGAATGCTTTCAGATATCTATCAAACTTCAGGTATACAGAAAGAATTCACCAAAGGCAACTCATACTAAAATTGTGTTCGAACAAATCCAGTGAAAATAATACAAGAATGTGTTTACTAATGGATCATGTGTATATAAACCCAGAAATAGATTCATCTAATGGGGTCAAAATCCTCAACCCCTAGCACATCATACTTACTATCAGATCAACTAGGACAAGCCAAATGTAAGTAAGTTAAGCTATACAGAGGACTATATCCGAGGTAATGAATTATTCAAGAGCAGCTTTTGATTTAAATTTTATCCTATTCCTTTTGCCATTAAGAGATGAGAATCAGTGTCCTAACCAATAAGGAAAGGAACCGATGACATTAATGATAATGGATATAAAATTGAAAGTGAAGATCAAAAGGTACATTTATCGATTGTGCCAATGAGATAGAAACATTAAGAAATGCCGATGATGGAACTTACAGCAATATCATTATCAATTGTCTTTGGAATCCCAGCTACTGCAACTCTAAGACCACGCTTTTCAACTTCCTTGACAAATAGAATGCAAAACATTTTGTCACAACATCATCAAGAAGAAAAGAAATTAATAGAAAACGCAACTTTAAATAATTACCTTATAAATAGCAGCAGCTCCTTTTTGAGTACCATCCCCTCCAATTATGTAGACCTACAATCCAGCAAAGGTAAAAAAAATTTCAAATTTGCTTAGATCAATGGACAAGCCAATGGAAAAGGAAAATGAAATTCACCTGGTTTATCCCCCGGTCCTGAATATTGTCAACTATCTTGTTGGTATCATGACCTCCTCTTGAAGTTTGCAGGAAAGTGCCACCACGCTTATGGATATCATTAACAACTTTAGGCGTCAATTTAATGGTATTTTTGGAGTAGAACCCTCTATATCCTCCCTGAAAATTTTCAATTTGTGAATTAAGCTGATTTGAAAGTTAGCAAGATCGTGCATAGCCATCTATACATGATTCTTTAGAAATAACATAACCTTGTTGATGTTGGAAACCTGGGTAGAGAATTTCAAAGATAGTGGAGGATAAAATACATGGTTTCATTAGTTTCATTATAGTCATGACTAACAGGACGCAGAATGAAGTTATCTTAAGATTACAAGATCAATAACGTCAAAATGACATCAAGATAACTTGCAGAGGTCGTACCCAACAAAACTATTATTAAATTTAAAAGACTAAACTTGCATCAGTAAAGTACGGAAGATAATCGCAGAAACCATGAATATGACACATTTTAGTTACTTTATCTTAATGGAAGAAAAAATTTCATTCATTAATTAATTCATCATAAACGTAAATAAGAATAAAAGAATGTGCGAATCTATAATACTAACCTGAATTCCAAGTATATCATCAACTCCATACATATAATTCAAACCGCATACTATCTCACGTAACACTGTATTGATTCCCGGGCATAAACCCCCACATGTCACAATACAAGCACGCACTTCTTCCGAAGTGAAATAAACCTAAAATCAGATAAAGGAAATGTTCACACCACACCCATTCAAGAACACAACGATATCCAAATCCATTACAGTAAATAAAATTAATATCCAAATATTATTTCGAAAACTTTACATGCCTTTTCTCGAGGCCCTGCACGTCGAAAATGTACTCCCCTATGACTTTCCTTCTGAACAACAATCTGAATACAAAACACAACATCAATTAACTCACATAAACTCATAGTCGCTTATTAACTATAAAAAGAAGATAAAAGTCATAAACTATTATGCCTTCTGTGCCACCATATCTTCAGGGCTGACAAATGTTTTCCTGTCACAAAATAATACACAAGTGCATAAGAAGAAAAATAATCAAATTTCTCATAATAGCATGCCAAAATCTAAACCATAACAATAACACCTCAAAGAAAAATCTCTGCTTTTTCATCAACAAATAGCTTACTTGACGATGGCATAAGCTTGGCTCTTTTTCAATGGATTTGGATATGACTGAAAAGAAAACAACACGAAAAAAAATATGGCACTTCAGATTTTAAGAAATTGATTGGAAATTGATAAATTATATTTGAAAGACATTCTTTTAAGTTACTGAGCAAGAAATACCGGTAAATCAGGGAGAAAATTTGTCAAGTGAGGGACGTCTTCGATGATAAAATCGGAAAATTGATCTTCGTTAACATTAACATTGCTGTCGCTGGAAGCCTGAGCTCTGATTCTTAGTGAGAATGGTTGGCGCGAATTACAAATGAACAACGGTTTTTTTGCAGAGAATTTGGGGATGAAGTTTGGATTATGGAAATCAGGAAATGATTTGAGATTTCTATTAGCATAATTGGAAGGAATCGAAGTTCTAGAGAGAATAGGAAGTAACGGATTGGCGTTGGAGCTGAGAGCCATTTCCATTTTTTGTTGGGTTCTCCGCTTCAAGATCAATATGTATGACTTTAATCTAGCCCGAAAACCATGTTATGACGATTTGGTTTCTAGTGGTCTCTCTATTCCTTATTCCTCGTTTGGTTGTACTTTACAATTTTATAAAAAGTAAATTAAATTTTAGTTATGAGATCTCTCTAAAAAATAACCTGACCAAAACAAAATTATATATTTGATGGAACAAAAAGTTCAACTTAATTTTAGGACGGCCATTGAATCGTGGAAAATTGAACAAAATGAGTTTATGACGAATCAGATGACAATGCAATTAATTGTAGAAGATCTTACAGGGGAAAAAAGAAGAAGAATGCTTTTGAGGATTTTTTAGGCATATAAAATTAAAGAACAAGAAATTGAGAATAGAGCGATCTATTTATAGAGGTGAAATGAGGTAAACTGATAGGAAAAATTCTTAAGTTGAATTGAAATGATAAAATTATCTCGTCGTGTAAAAGTATGCAACGATCTTAAGTCCATATTCAATTGGCTCAAAATACTAAATGCTTCACTAACACGACTTAGATGATGCTATATTGCATAGCAAACTCTTTTGGAGTCTTGCATTTTTACCACGCGATAACTGACCAAAACATAGAGCCACCTCTAACTTTTTTGGATTAATGAGACGATCACCTAGGCCCCAAATTTCCATTTTTTGTTTTCATTTTTCTTTTTAAACAAGTTTATCATCGAACCACGTTCTACTGAACTGAACTAAGAGCGCTTTCTTATCAGAATAAAATATCTCTTACTCATATTTATGAGATGATAAAATATGACAAAAGCTTCCGAGAACTGGTTCACATAGAAATTAACAGTTATCTTTGAGGATACTTCTTAATTGAATTAGATTGGAATGGGTATGATGTGGATTGATGTCGACACGATTATGGGACGACCAATCAATCGAATATTGATTAATACGTAATTGATCGAACACTATTTGCAATCGCTCTTTGGTTGGGTAGTGGTGCAATATTACCTATTGATAAATCCCTACCAATAAGCGATATTTCACTGGGCCAAGAGCACTCCCTCAAGTAAAAGCTTCCACAGCCGGTTTAAAAAATTTAAGGGATCCCAAACCTTTTTCACAAAAATCGAAAGACTTCTCACGTTCTGTGAATAGCCGGGACATTGAGAAATATCCAGCAAGGGGTCTGTCACACGAGACAAGGACCAATGCAGAGTAAGTGAAGGGTTCCAAACCTCCATTCTCGCACCCTTTTTAGAGAATGTTAATAAATTCCAAAATCCATTTCATCGTCTAGTAGCGACAACCGTCAAGAAAGCAAAAGCGATTTCCGTAGTAGTGGCAAGCGGAATGGGAGCAACCTAAACCATGAATACATCCCAGAGAGGCTATAATTGAAGATGTCATTATTTCTGATACAGAAGTTCCTATAAAAATGGGAAATGCCTTCCCCGAAATGTGTTGAGGCGCAGCAATTGATTGGATATCTAGGGGTAAAACACTATTTTGATTTGGGCCACGAGTATTCAAGTCATATTTTTCTGTAATGATAATTAAAAACATTTATTTTCATAAATTTAATTTATCAATAAGAATTTTATCAAAAAATAATAAAAATAAAAGGAGAAAAGTTTTGTTAACAATGGACGTGAGTAATAACCAACGACAATGTTGTTGGAAACTTCATCGGTAACAACTTGTCTATCATCGATGATGATGATTTATCAATCTCAATTATTCTATCCAAAATAGTCATAAATATTAATTACAACATTATCATCAGGTCATCGATGTACTTTCTAGAGATTACTTGTTCCATTTAAATTTATATGATTGTCTTTTCAAGGTTTCATCAAAGTACCTAAATTGTTTGAGATGTCTCTCCTCACACGAAATTAGATAGTAGTTGAGAATTATGACTACTTTAGATTCATGCTAAGTTGACTTGACCCCCACAAATATCCTCCATTTTCTTTAAAATTATGTCACAAATTAATTTGTTTACTATAAGATGATGTGATAGGATATGAATGAAATTTTACCAATCAACTAAGAAATACGACATGTACAGGCTAATTTTCCAAACTAGTTTTTCATGTTCATGAGTGGGCGTGTAATAAAAAATTACAGAAGTGCAATTTTTTTGAGGGGTATTCGGACACCGGAGAGGGATTGAACCCGGGCTGGCACCCCTGAGAGATCTTCTCCACTAGGATTGGAAACTAGAGACTATGAAAAGATTATCTATTTCAATGCAATATTTTCATTTGTAATAAGTAAAAACTGATCCAAAGCTTTTTGTTACATCAGAAGATAATGAATAAAGAAAATTTCCTTGCTAATTTCCTGTAAGTTGGGCCTTCCAGTGAGACATAATAACCTGGAAACCACACACCTGTATGACCTTACTCCTCGTGCATACTCGAAGATGACAGTCCTAGAGAAGAAAATGATCGATCATATGTTGGATGACATCTGCACCCTCAGTATTCATGTACTGCTCTTTTACCTAAATAATTTTCAGATGCGACCAAAAATCAGCTTCTTATTTGCATACTTGACAAAGAGTAATGATACGAGGTGAAATATAAAGACAGTGCTCCGACTCCAAAAGTCGGGAGTGCAAATGCTATGCCACACAGTACATTGAACGTAAAATATCCTACAAACACCTCGCGCTCTAAGTATCACTAATGGAACTACACCAATTGTAAATCCCAAAATTGCCTGGAGAAGGAAATGCTGTGTTCTCTACGTGCAAGACTTGATCCCTACTACTATCGAGGCTTTTCATGTTGAAGGAGAATAGAGACGGGTCATCACAAAGCTTAAAACCAAACAATTTTCGCTTAAGTTTGATCGGTTGTTGCAGAATGATATCAGAGTTCGGTACTCGGGGTGGAGGTGTGCCAGCGAGTATGCTGGCTCCCAAAGGAGGAATTGTTGTGCGCTGTACATATGCAAGACTTGTAAAACTACCGTCGAAATTTTTTCCACGTGGATGTAAAAAAAGGGCCAAGTCGTCACATGGTCCAGAACACAACGACATTGAGTAGGCTTGACTCGTCACGGCACCAATATAGCAGAAAAGAGAGAGGGAGTAAGAGAGACCTGAATAACACTATGTGCAGCAAATTTAAGCTTGCTCTTGTGGAAGCTGACATCTACTTTTTCCCATGTCAAGCGAGATAGGCCAATCAGCAGCTCCTCTGCATCACGTAACCCAGCATAAGATTAATGCATCATTCAGAATTAATGAACAAAAATTTTCAAATGAGAAATGGCAAAAGAAACAAAGTTTTGATTAAGAGAATGGCAAAGATAAGTTAAAATGCGAAGTGCATACATATGTTGCTTGTGAAATCCCCAAGAGATCATAGAAGACGACAATGTAATAGATCTACTTGTAAAGCTTTAACCATGAAGTTTCTTAAACTTTTCAGGAAAAAAAATTATATAAAATTCTGGTTGTACTAAGGTCCATCGAGTTAGCCTGTTTTTGGCTCCAAGTTGCTTTTTTATTTTATTTCTTCGCCGGATTTTTTCTATATACATATATATATATAAATCTAACTATATTAACAGCATTAAACTTACTGATTTAATGAAATGAAAATCATCTAGAACATAAATCATGTGTCCTCAAATGATTAAAGCAGGTAAAAGTGTGAACAAAACAGAAGGCAGACGAAATAATCCTCCAACAATAATTATTATATATTCACCATACAGAATGTGAGACATTATGGACTTGGCAGAAATAGTTTCCATGACATGCTAAATTCTTGATGATACTATATTTCTAGAGGGCTTTGAAGTTAAAAGTAACTATCTGATGCATTTTGCAGGAAATAAAAATTTAAAAGCCAATGAAGTTCATTTATTTAAAAAGAATTTCTAAAATGTGGACTTTTCGGAGTAAGTCCACCTAGAATAGCTTACCAAACACTCACGACTCTTTTAAATGAGCTGCTAAAATCCTTAAAATCCACTAGAGAGTATTTCCAATCATATTCTTAATATTTAAGGATAAAATAATAATTCCCTCAAAATCATAATCCAACTTTTAACAGTCCAAAGAAGTGAAAAACTACGTTGTGGCAGATAGAGTACCAATAAATCTTCATTCGGATGAGTAGGGATCATCAAATGACCAGGTGAAATTGGAGATGCAATCAACAAAAGCAGCAGCACAGGCAGATGTTAAAGAGCAGCATAAAGTCACATAATTATTCAGCAAAGCTTGAAAACGGGTTACAAACCTTCCAGCTCATCTAAGCCATCATCATCTGTGGAAACAGACTCACACTGCTCTCCATCCCTTGCTTTGCAGCGCTCTTCATAAACGATATGAGGATATTTTTCATCTAGAAAATCCTCCCACTGGAAGAAAGGCTATAGTACAGTCATGCAAATCGCAATAAAAATGTAAAAGCTTGATTAACTGAATGGTGATAACATACCTTGGGCAGTTCAATATTACGTCTTATCGATGCTGTTCTCCAGCCCACTACATCTAAGTGAGATTTTCTTAAGGAAGACAAGATGCTAGAATCCAAACAAGTGTAAAATATAGTAAACATTATTTAGCTCATTAAAAGAAGTAAATAAAGTGAGCTACGCACAATCAGGATACGGTCATAACCAACATTTGAATATGTCACTCGGCGTTGGAATGAACGCAAAGCAGACCTGCATAATTGTAAAACATAGAAAGACTTGCACATCACACATATTCATACATACATATAAATATTTCAAAGCAGCCTGTAGAGTATCAAATCTAATTAATATAAGACAAGATGTTAGAAGAAACATACATAAAATGTAATTCCCCCCAGTTTTCTAGCATGCGTCTTAATAATGGAGGCTTTCCTTCATCATCATCTGTAAGAAAGAGGTGCCGACCCGTTCTTCTGAATATCAAATGAATTACACAACCAGCAAATCTCTCAATAGCAGGTACACCAAAAAGAAATGGTACCTAACAAATAGACAAAAAAGCAATTAATGCTAAAACAAATCCAAAATTATAACTGTGATTTGGGATGACAATTAGGAGATTTAGAACTTGTTTAATACTAAAAACGCCTTAAAGATTAGCAGTAATTCAATGTTATGATCAGGATCAGAACATCCGTTCTTCCTCAAAGATGGGGTAACAGATGGGAAAAAAAAAAAAAAAAAAGCAGAAGCACAAATACTTGGCAAAAATTTCATTTCATTGAATAAATTTAAGTACAAGGAGGCCAAAGCCATTACAAAAGATAGCCCTATTCTGCTGGAGGGACTTCTACATCGGCCTCCTCCGGAGCTTCCTCAACAAACCTATCAGGCCGACCTCCAGTTGGCCCCCCGAAATCTGCCTTCAATGAGGAGATGTCCAAAGTGGGGTGCACCTCCTTCAGCCAACCCAATAAGCTTTGGGCACTCCATGAGGCCCAAAAATTGGCAAACTCGTCATACAGGGGATGGTCTTCAAAGTGGTCGATGAAGTTCTGAACTGCCACATCTCCTGCAGACTTCAACTCCTCCTTCAAAGAGGCAATCTCCTCTGACTGAGCCTCTACTTTCTATCTCAGCTCGGCCTTCTCTTTGTTGGAGGCCTCCAGAGCCTTGATGGCGAGCTTGTGGTGCTCATTGGCGTGATCAAGCCTCCGAGTCACAGCAGCCACTTGGCACTCCACCTCGTACAACTCCTTCTTCAGCCACTCCACTTCTGCTTTGGCGGCAGTTAACTGGGCCTCAGCTTCCTTCTTCCCCTCCTCCGCCTGCGTGGCCTTGGCCTAGGCCGCTCGCACGGCATCCCCGTAGTGCATCGCCTCCTCGAGGCACTTAGCGAGGTCCTCCCTCTTGGAGTTCAAATCCTTCACCAAGCCCTCAAGTTGGATGCTTGTACTCAAGGCCCGAGCCACGAAGGCACTATTTGCAGCCACCAAATCCTCAGCTGTGCAGGAGGCGATGTGGTCCCTCCACTCTTCAGTCCAGTATTTGCTATGGACCACCGCCACCGCAGCTGTTTCTGGAGGAAGAGCCTCCAACACTTCCCTTATGGGCTCCTCCGGGTTTGTGCCCGGAAAGTCGACCTCCTTAGAAGGACGGGGTCTCTTCCTCTTCTGCTGCCCCGACACTTGATCAATTAGCACGGTAGCGAGGGGTGTTGTGGCCAGGGCAGTGGCAGTCTCAGGTGGGGCGGGCCTCTTCTCCGAAATGGCCACCCCGGTGGGAATTGTGGTTTGTTTCAGAGCGGGGGGTGGCCTCGCCACAGTTGGGCGTTTTGGAGGGGTGGCACTCTTCTTGCCCTTCCTCCGATGATTAGCCTCCGAGTCCTCAGGTACCTCTACCTCTGTAGGAGGCTGAAGCCTCTTACTAGCTTCCACCAAATCCTCCATTTGCTTTTCGTAGGGGGAGGAGGAAGCCTTCAATGCCCGTGCCTCTGCCATCATCTTTTGGATGGTCTTAAAGTCGGGGAGCACCGACATCTTCTTATTAAGTTGTCTGCAAAGAGCGAATGATGAATTAGTACAAGTGTTGAGAGTTCAGAATAAAGGGTAAAGACTTCGGTCCGGTTACCTTGGGATGCCATCAGATCGTGAGCAATGAAGTGGATGTTCTTTCGGATCAGCCTATGGTGAGACCTCTTCTTTTGAGGTAGCTGATAAATGATGCAAATGGTTTCAAAGTCCTCGGATGATAGCTCGCACCGAGGAAGAGCACCTACAAAGGAAATGTAAATGTTAGGCATAATTCAAACCGAAGAGAAATATAAGGAAAAACAACTACTATTCTCACTAAGTGTTGAGTACTTCGTCGGGACCGTAAGAGGCACCAGGGAGTCCCCCTCCATCTTGTCCTATCGCCTTGCGGCCTAGCACCACGAGCTCTTCCATTCTTTGATGGAGCTCGACAGATTGAGCACGAATGGAGTGTGGGAACCCCATGAAGTAAGGTAATACCATCTGTTCGCGAAATGTTTCTTCAATTTTAAAACCCACCGCAAGTGTACGGTTCATTAACAAGTAGTAAAATGGACTATGAGTCCAAGTATCGTTCCCACGAGGATTGAATTAGCTCTAATTAGACTAATGTGACCTTAGCCGAATCTAATTGAATGAAAATTTGGTTTAAATGTGAAAACCCCTAATTGTGGGAGAAATCCCCAATTTGAAACCCTAATTTTTAAAGAAAACCCTAATTTCGAAATTGGAAACCCTAATTTCGAAATTCACTAATTGAATGACTCAAGAACTCAATTAAAATGTAAATACGCAATTTTTGGAAGTTAATGTATAGAAAACAGCTCGATTCCCCCCCTCTCTCCAGAAGGGCAAGTTGACCCCCAGCCCCAATTAAACTTCAAACAGAGGTTAATCCAACATTTGCTGGATTTGAGCTTAATTTCATCGAATTAATGACTGATAAGCCTACTTTAAAAGAAAAAAATCAACAAAGATTATGCATATTTACATATATGATTTCACAAGTAAATAAAATCAACACCATTCATCCAGTCCAACCGCATTGATGTTTGAATCTTCTACTCCTATCAAAGTTAGTTCAGTCAAATTTAAGATCTTTCAAGTTCCTAAGAAACTTAAATCAGAAAACTGAGGCAGACTAACATACAACTGACCGTAATTTCAAAATATTCATGTTAATATACAATAAAAATAAAATATACCTTCCAAGAATACCGTGAACCATAATAACCAGATGATCAACAGAAGAATCATCAGGCTGTTTACAGCTATACACATCCTCCCCTCCATCCTCCGTTCCCGATGAAAACACAAAGCCTTCTTTTCCTTCGTTTTCCATTTCTTCACCTTCGATTAACTAAATTAATTTATTCTAATTTATTAATATTAACTTCATCGACTTCCCATTTACTCAAAAACTATACGAAATTCAAAACAAAAAAGGAATAATTTAATATTACAATTTATGAAATCAAATTTATTTTGTATCAAATTGGAGTTATGAGATAATGAGCGTAGAGTGGCTGAAAGATGATCAGAATAGAAAGAGAGAGAGAGCTGTGACGAGAGTGTGTGAACTTGGCAATACATGAATACCTTTTCAACGTTTGTTGTACCTTTGCTTTTACAGTTTGTACAGTGGCGAATTTTATGCATGCGCAGAATCGGGTCGAGTTTGGAATTTGGACCAGTTCATGGGTCGGCTAGTGTTGTCGGATAATGTAATGTTATCCATAATTTTCCAAGAAGAAAATAAAGAAAAAGGAGGTAAGAAATTGGTTTAGCGCACCAGTAAAACTTGTTTGTCAATGTTTTTTTAAAGGAGACCATTCTTGGGGTACCGCCCCCACCTCGACATTATGGACACTATTATGGTGTCCATTATGTACATTTAGAATATTCCTTTTTAAAAATATATTTAATTATAACTTTTATGAAACTTACTTGGCTCCCATTTGTTTCTGATTTTTGGAAGAATGAAAAATATAGTCGTTACGGACTCCACACAAGAGATAGAAATTCAAATTTGGTGGTTTGATGTGATGGATAACGGTCATATTTTTCGTTTAAATGAAAAAATAATGAGAATCAAACAGGGGCTTACTAACCACACGTATTTCAAAAAAAAAAATTATTTTTTCCTTTGCCATATGTTTTTTTAATAACGGTTGAATTTTTTCGAGGAAATATCTCAACTTGATATTGACGTAGGTTAATATTAAAGTTTAACTCAAATTGTCATTTGAAAAATAATAATAAATAATACGTGAACATGACTATGACGTAAATAACATATATTAAAGAAGAAGTTAAATGAGTAAACGGGACTTCTCCCAAGCTGTTTATAATTTTAAATCAAAGCAACGTCATTCTACTTCTACATGAAATGGGAGTTTCGAGTTTGTTATGATTGAATTTCAACAATTTCATTTGAAAATTAATTAGTATTCAGAGAGAGAAAGTTAAAGCTAGTTAGACATTTGACACAACACATAAATTTAAAAGCAACCTCATTGCTTCTGAATGGAAGCAGCCTTATTGCTTCTGAATAGGGTCCTTCATTTCATAATAATATTATTGCTTGTTAAAACTTCTCTCTTGTTTCTCTTAAGAAAGTTCAATGCATATGGAATTCAATTAGTTTAGATTTCTTGTTTTCATATTGATGGTTAAAACAAGTGTCATTCGTGTAGGTGTCCAATAAAATTGAAGTCATGTATATTTTATATCTAATTTGTTACACATTCTCCATTTTGAAAAACAAGGCATAAGAAGGTTAAATCGTTAGACTAGATGAATAATGAATGCACTTAAATCTCGATACCTGCATGATTTTTATGAATGAATGATAACAAGACTTATATCTTTGTTGACCTAGATTTCGGCATGGATGACATGGTCAATAATTCTTGACTTAACTGATCACACGTAGATAATCACCTACACACTTGGACAAATCATTAGCAGTATTGACGTTCTCTAGTAGTGGGAAAAGCAATTGCAAGCACTCTGACAATCAAGTTAGACAACTTGTACAAGTATATATGGATGTGAGATAATTGAAAGACGTGAGTTACCTTAGTGTATGGGCATAGAGAATTTATAAGATAACAGAGAGAGCAATATTTACTATTTAATGAAAAGATACGTGGTCTTATCCTAATGCCCGAAGCGTCTTTTCCTAAATGTCATTCAATTGATCATTAGTTCAGGGCTCCTAATGTTTCTGAAAAAATAGTCTACGTTTGACATTTGAAAAATAGGCTAACAAGTTGATCATTTAAATGTATGTTGTAGAAATATCATATCAATCAATCATATAAATATTTTGTACGAGAGATTTCTTGTGAGAGGTGAAGTGGGAAATGTCCGCCTCGGTAAAGATGGTAATTACCTCGAATCACTTTTGCAACATATAACAACACCTTGCTTGGGTCGTGGAAAGTCGACCTCTACATGTATCTTGATTAGCGTGATGCATTACTTCGACTATCTTATTATATGACCTCAGCTCGATCAAGTATAGAGTTTGGATCTTATTGAATTTGTTAGCTAGCTGCTACGTAACTCTTTATATACATATATACACTTTGATATAATCCTTATCTGAAAAAGAAGAAATTATCAAAGATGAGTTTTACACAATTATACTTAGAAATTCTTCAACAATATGTCACGTGATGATTTTGATGTATTATAACTAAAATAAATAACAATAGGGAAACAAGTATTATTTTATGAATGGGACCATCATAACATATTGATGGACATGTTAACACCTGGCTGCACGCGTGATGTTTGGTTGACAATGATACGTTTAACTGAATCCGTAATAGAAAAAATATTGGACCCACCATCTCTGGGCCCATTCCTCCTAAAAATATCTATACTAAGCTTTGATTAGTGAAACTTAAATATAAATATGAACAGATAATTCAATTTTTATTTATTTATTTTTTTAATGTTGTATGTTTGAAATTATGCACCGTTTTTTAATTATAAAAACTTCACGTTTCAAATATCAGTAAAATTGAGAAGATCATTTTAAAAGGTTAATTCACAAAGGGAAGTCGTCTAGTTCTTTACAAACTTATTCTAATGTAGCGGAATATGTGAAATGATGATTAACACTCTAAAACTCGTTGATTCAATAGGTAAATATTTAAATTGAGTAAATATAGAGAAAAACTCCTCGATATTTTATTAAACTATTCAGGATTGTTTGAAAAGTTTTAGTAAAGTTTCATAAAAGTTTGATTTAAAATTTGATAAAAATTGTGGATACCATAAAATTTGTGAGTAACAATTTATCATTAACTTCACTCTATTAAATTATTTACATTTATTCATTCATGGACTTATACGAGATAAGGTTTATTACAAAATTTGGTATTTCAAATATTACACAACAACTCAAGAAATTTATTTTGACAGATCAACCATATAGATATAATCTCGAAAGGATTATTCTATGTGTATACCTCATGGTGTACGCAATATATTACACCCTTCTCACATGGAAGGGGCATACAAATATTTTATTGTATATGAGTCCCTCTCCATGTGAGGGAAGTGTAATATTTTGTGTATATCATTGTATAAACATAGCAGTTCCCATCTCGAAATCTTAATTATAATATTTCTTAAGGCAAAAAAATGTATTTTTTTTTCTGGAGATTTTTGTATTTAATTATAAGTGGGAATTTGTGTTGCTTTAAATCTTCATCCTTGAATGTGGCAGGACCAGATGATCACATTAAATTGCATTAAAATCCCTTTCGGTTTGTCCAACATTTTCTTATTTTATGAACATCCAAACACCAAATGGCATATTCAATTACTGAATTTTTTTTTTCCACTTTACACAATTTGAAGCGTACAAGATAAGTTTATTTCCATAAAGTCAAGCTTTTAATGGAAATTTCACTATGGTACCAAATCTATTGCTCCTAAGCAAGTTGATCCCCAACATTTTAAAAATGAAAAAAATTCGTGAATTTAAGTTTATGGTTAAAATTGCAAATTTGCAACTGTAAAAAGCTCCGTGCTAGTCACAAATGCAGAACAACAATGGCTAATATCCCAACCCAAGTAGAAAATATAATGCAATTTGACCATTAAAATACAATCAAAATATTAAATTCAAACAAGGATTCTGGTTTTGGGTGCTAAAGCTAATTCTCAAACCAAACTACATAATATTACAAGACATCCTGAAAAATAATAATTAGTCGATGAATATTCACATAATCATATGGTGAGACGAGTAATGGAAGGGTCAGTCATCTGAGCTATAATCACTAGATTCTTGTAGCATCGGCAAAGCAGCACAACAGAACAACTCCTTGTCTTTGAGAAGAAGACAACTTCCGTCTAGATTCCATTTCAGATCGATGACAGAAAACTGTGGAAACGGAATGTTTATGCAGTAAGCGCCTGAGGGCGTCCACATGTATGAATGGTTACTTCCGGTACATAAAAGTAGACGTGGATACTTTGGGTCCCACGCTACCGCTCGAATGGGATCCTTTTGAATCAAGATAGCCGCAAGCTCAAGATGGTGCACTTCCCATATCCAAAGAACCGTTGGCATATTATCATTACGAGTACATATGTACTGACTGTCACTGCTCCAAGACATAAGACCTGCAATTGATTATGATAAGTCGTCAACATAAATGACCTAATTGAATTTTGGAAGTCTCTTAATTGAAGGGCTCCTAACAATAAGGGAAAATATACACAATCAAAGAGCACCAAATCCTAAAATGCTGAAATCTACAAATCTTAGAAGGATAATGGCACCTGGTACAATTCCACAAGTACCATAATATTGCATGGCCACATTTCGATAAAGATTCTGATCCATTAATAATGATAACATGACCACACTGTAACCACCACGTCATCTCAACCATTTTGTTGTTCCGTAAACTTATGCTCCATCTCAGCGAGAAAAGAAAGAGATAAATGCATACAAACAGTGCAATCTGTTTAATTTTTAAGGGGTAACGTACAAGATGAAGAATTTTTGTTGGAAGCCATTGGTGATCATTAATGATCGTGTACAAGGAAGAAACAGAGAAGATTCCAAGGAAAGGGCGATTCTGGGTTTCTAAAACGAGAGGAAATGCAAATGGAAAGATGCTGGACAAATGGAAGTTTTCTACTTATACCTCAGTGTTCCCTTATATACAAAAAACAAAAGAAAAAACATGAGAATGAGAAATGATACGTAAAGCAGGACTACACTTAGAATGAAGAGCTGACAGTTGCTTGATTTATTCTAACACGCAGTAACAGTAAGGAAATATATACACAAGTAACATTTATATCATACACGGTCTTACCGATTCCTTGCTTAGGATTTGGTTTATCTGCTGGAGGCTTCAGGGAGGGGAGAGTAATTGGCACTTCCATAACATCATACCTAACTTGAATTTGTGTTTCAGAAACACTATCTGCAGAGGGATATCATCGGGGAAAAAAGGTTGCACGATTAATAGAAAACTCAGCAGAAAAAAGTTAAAAGAAAGAGACAGAGAGAGCACAATGACAAGCTTCAATTCTACCACAAATACTCACAGTTATAAAATATGCCACTAAATTAATTTTTTACAACAGCAGAAATGTCAGCCAAGGCAATATGGCCAAATTTGCAGAGAATTAGCACTTTTTGAAAGGAAAGATTCGTCCAATGAAAACTTTTGATAGCATCTCTAAAGAATAGGAAATTATATTGAACTCATCTCAAGTGATATCACTTTCTACCTTCAAATTAATTTAACTACACCATTTATTTAATAGATAATTGATGCAACGAATCTTGGCAAAGAGGCACATATGAAATGGTCCAAAAAAAGTAGAGTTCAAGCAAAGTAGATAGTGCACAATATCCAAGAAGGCTCCAGCATAGATTAGATTAGAGCAACTCATTTTTGACCAAGAAGGCAAGACTTCTGCTACTGGAGATGAAATGCAAAAGTTTGATCTTGAGCTTAATCTGTGTGAAAATTCAGTGACAAGAATATAGCTTGACTTTGCGAACATTATATGGGAAAAAGGGGTAATGTGATTTATAGATAATACCATTTACAGTAACAATAAAGAAAGCCCTGAAAAGAACCCTAACATTTAGATAAAACAATCACCCTTGATTTTAGGCCCAGATCAAAACAATACGCATTTGGTCTCAAATTCCTTACTAAAAATTAGACAATCATACTTTGACATGGGTAAACGTGCTGAAGCACCACAATCACATAGAGGTATAGTGCTTAAGAATAGCTGCTCATTGGATTCATAAGTAGAATGTAAAATACTTCACCGGTCATATAAATGGTTTATCACATAGAGGTATAGTGCTTAAGAATAGCTGCTCATTGGATTAATAAGTAGAATGTAAAATACTTCACCGGTCATATCACTGGTTTATCAGAGACGTATATGAATATATCTATTAGATATCTTTATAGTTTTTTATTTAAATTTTTAAATAGTATTTGATGTGAATTTTCCTATACCATGTTTTTTCACGAGAATTGAATACATACTACAAAAACGCTATCCATTCAACAAAAGAGTAAAGTTATTCAGCCATGATAGAGGGAGTAATGTGGTCTCCAGAAAAAAAGATAAGAATGCTTTTTAAGCAGCATTTCATCGAACACTTCTCCCCAAGTTCAGAGTTGCCTAGCAACTCTCCTTTTCACCATCTTTGAAGTAAAAGTGATTCTGAGCTTGTAGCTATTTAACCCTATGCAAAAACCTAATATATTTTTCCTTTGTCTCCGTGAAGACACACTACAAATCTTCATCAGAAAAAAGATCATAAAGGAAAATGTATATAAGAAAATCTAACAAGAAGATGAATCTGGTTACAACCATGATAATATGTTTCAAGGCATGAAAGTAGAAACAAATGAGATATGAGTTGTTAAAAGCACACAATGGAGCTTACCAGCACTGCGTTGAGCAAAATCATCATTCAGTGACAATTCTGACATATCAAGTTGCAATGGCTCGTCCACTTCCTGAAATGTATGGGGGAAAATGTATAAAATCCTACAAAGCACAGCTTGCCAAGTAAATGAATGAGAAGTTTTGTCACCTTGAAAATAGCAGCACCACACGGGCCACGAACAGTCGATAGGTGCGTAAATTCTGCAAATACTTTCCATGTCAAGTGATTTAGAACCCGAATCATCTGGTCATAACTTCCTACTGCCAAAAATTGACTACATGGTGACCATGAAACACTTTTTACACCTAATCCACATTCGTAAGCTTGATACTTGGATAGACACCTTCCGTCTGGGGAATATATCAGAACCTAAACCAAACAAAACCATTTCAAACATAAGCATTAACTAAGAGGTTTAAACAAAATAGTACCAAATAATCAGGGTGAGATGCTATCAATTTTTCTTACGTTCGACAACTGACACATAATTGAGATGACGCTAGCATCAATCCTTTGACTAATTTGATTCTACCTTCATGCTAAATAGCTACGTGGCAGAAAGCAAAAAATAGCAAGAAGAAAATTACCTTATATTCAAGAGGGGAATCCCAGATAACTATGGCACTGTCATCAGGTGACCATTGGATATCAGCCAAATCCAATGTGTCAACCGCAAAAACACCCATAATTTCCCATGTATGACAAGAAAGTAGATTGACATAGTCCTTGCAATCACGTCTAGTACATATTGCAGAAAACTTTCCATCTTTGGTAAATGACACTCCCTTTGAACCATGCTTCGGCCCTTGCACATGTATGCATGCAGTGTTTAACAATGACCAAACTGTTAACCTCAATTGAAAGTCAGATGTGGTGAGTATATGGCGACTATCGGGACTCCACCTTGCATAGGAAATTCCGGCAGAACCTTCATCTATTTTGCATGTCCATTCAGGTTGTGCCAAGGACCATGCTTGTATCATAGGTCTCTTATACAAACCACACAATATATACTCTGAATCAAGGGCCCACTCTATGTAAGTTATTTTGTCCAAGCACGAAAATAGTTGCACCACCTGTGTCATGATTTGAAAAATATTTTTAATTACATTTATATCTGCAACCTAGAAATCACATACTGTAGCTTTATATATAACAAACTAATGATGAGTTTCACTTGATTATGATCCAACGTCTAAAATATTATTTAAGGAAAATCTAATCAAATCAATTGCTGCATTTATTGTATGCATACTTAGTAAAAATTAAATCATGTTATAAACGAGTTTTAAGAACTACCACCAAATCCCTAAGATTTAACGACAAGAAAAAAGCAAATAAACTTAAATTAAAGTGCGTTTACATCGATGTTACTAAAATTAGACTCACTAGTTCAACCATAAAAACCAGGTATAGTTACACATATTCAAATGGATAAAGAAAATTCAGTAAAAGAATCGCCTAACCAGCCCATTCAATCAAAACCGGATGAACTAGTCACAGTTTTTCCCGGTTTATACGGATCCCCTTTTGAAAAAATATCCCATGAATAAATTTGTTGGATTGCACTCCTGCCTATATGTCCACTTCAGTAGACAATGCTCCTTTTAAAGATGTTCCTTCTTTAATTCCATTACTGATCTTTCGATGTAGGAATAAATAAAGAGCCCCCCAACAAAGCCAATTTACAATGTTTGCCTTATTCTTCATTCTCTTGGTTTATTGGTGCTTTTATTTCTACTTACTGAGTATACCCAGTTATACTTAATTATTTGTATAATAATGCTGGACTCATTTTCAATAGGCTAGAACAATTTTCAATTTGAACAAAAACAAACCATTGGCCATATTGGTTGTTAGTTTTTGAGGTGTTCAAACAAGTTACAGAATAACAAATAAAATTAACAAACATGGATCTATATTTACTTTGAATTAGTGACGAAAATTTAAAAATATATTCTCCTTAAAATATTATTATAGGTCTACTTTCAGCTTTTAGTTTTGACACCAATTGAACCTTTTGACCCTTTGCCCTTTACATATATTGGTTCAATGCCCGGATTCAGTTAAAAACAACCAATTTCATCAATAACATAAGACTGCATTTCTTTAATATTTAGGATTTCCTTGTTGCATTAAATTGGTATTCACTGCTCCGATATAAATCTATTCACAAACTTCTATTTAACTTCCAAAAAGTTCCCTACCGTGCTTAAAGAAACACATTGTGTCCTAGCATTTCAAAAGGGTAATGTAATTAAAAAAAAATCGGTGAAAGTCGAAAATCAGTTACTTAAAATTAAAAACAGGTTTAGTTATCAAAACATGTTTGGAGACAAAATTAACCAATCGTTCTCTTAAGCTTAACCAAACATTCTCTTAAACCATAATTTCTAAAGTATAATTAAATACAAATATTCTACGTTTGGTCTTGGTGCTTACATAAAAGTCCGAATCGAAATGCTTAGTTACCACATTTGCAAAATTCTCATAGAGCTGAAGATCTACGAAAACAAGTTAATTCCTAACAGTACCTTGAATGTGAGAACATCACGAATCACGAGGCGATAATCGACTGCAACTGCAAGAAACCGAGCATTTGGAGAAAAAGCACAAGGGCCCGCCTGCTTATAAGCTTCAGTAAACTCCATTCCGTGACACCCAAAGACAAAACAAATTGAGAACAAAATTATGGATCAGGTACACTATACAGCCTTCATTAGTTAGATACTCTGAAAAGTGGAGATTATGGCTGTGGATCTGTTCGTGAAATTTGAGGGATCTATGCAGTGAAAAATGTTGGTGCAGCGACAGGTGCCGGCGTAAATATGAGTAGATTTGAATCGCATCTATACATCGGTTTTCGAATTTTGGCTCGAAATTTTACACGGGTCAACTGGACCGGGTTCAATTTCCTATTTGACACAACTAGACCGTGTTTGGTAGAAGTAATAAGTCATTGATAGGAAATGTATGAAAGAAATGGAGGCAGAACGTTTTGCCTTTCCTTCTTGGGTTGGAAGGAGAAGACGAATGAAAGGAAAAAAGAGGATAAAACTCAGGAAAATGTTTATTCTACATCACCCTTAACATAATATTTTACAGATTAATGAGATGTAAAAAAAAAAAAAAAAAAAAAAAAAAAAAAAGAGAGAGAGAGAGAGAAATTATTATTTTTTATTTGTTTTGTGAGATTTTGATCCAATAAAATCTCATCACATCATTTATAGGTAAATTAAATTGTAATGTACATGTAGCACAATCGCTTGAAAAAATAAACGGTTGAATCTATAAATTTTCAATCACATTTAACTCTTATTTGACGACAATTATTTCAAAATATTTTATTCTACGTACTTATTTTTAATCATACATTTACACAATAAAATATTTTACATGTAAATCTATTTTTTTTCTATTATTTAATCACACGTTCTCTAAAAAGTCAATATTTATTTATTTCTTGCCAAATAATGACTTGTTTAATCAAAATTTATTAAAATTCATTTAAAATGATTTTTATCTTATAAAAAAAATAAAAATAAAAAGAAACATGGCTGAACGATCTTTAGTGGGGAGCCTCTTTTTTTCCTATCTCTGCACATTTCATTTTACGTGGGGATCATCTGACTGAAATAAATAAGCATTATTCTTTGATTTTCTTGAATTATATTTTCATATATTTCTTTTCGAGTAAATTTAACCAATGTTAACTGAACTTTAAACTTGTTACTACTTATTCACTCATTTTCACGCGTTACTGAATACTCACTCATCTTTCTATATAGTTATCCATCCACCGCTCATATTTTCAAATAATTGGGTGATTTTTGAAGCAACTTTTCGACAACTTTCGATCACCAAGATCGTCGGATTTTGATACTGTTGGAAAGTCCACGATATCCTCTTTAATTACAACCCAATATCTCCCCATAACTCTAAAGGATTCGACCGAAAAATTGCCGCAAAAATCGTCCAAAAAATCTGAAAATCTGTCCAGATTTTCAGATTTTTTGTACGACTTTTGCGACAATTTTTCGACAACTTCCGGCCACCAAAACGGCCAGATTTTGATACCGTTGGAAAACCCACAATATCCTCTTCAATTATCACCCAAAATTTCCTCATAACTCTAAATGATTCGATTGGAATAAACCCACAAAGTCAATATCTCGAAAAGGCGAAAATTTGGATAGAGTTCGGGATGTTGACTTTGTGGGTTAATTTCGACCGAATCCTTTGGAGTTATGGGGAAATTTTGGATGGTGATTAAAGAGGACATTGTGGGCTTTTCAACGGTATTAAAATCCGACAGTTTTTGTGATCGGAAGTTGTCGGAAAATTGACGCAAAAGTCGCCCAAAAAATTTTAAAATTTGGACTGATTTTCAAATTTTTTGGTTGACTTTTGCGACAATTTTTCGATCAAATCTTTTGGAGTTATGAAGAGATTTTGGGTAATAATTGAAGAAGATATCGTGGACTTTTCAACAGTATCAAAATCTGACGATCTTGGTGGTCAGAAGTTGTCGAAAAATTATCGTAAAAATCGTCCAATTATTTAAAGATACGAATGATGAATAGATATCTATATAAAAAAATGAGTAGGTATTCTTTGACGCGGGACTAAGTAAAGCTTCGTGATCATTGGTTAAATTTATATTCTAGGGTTTAACAGAATGAAACCCCGTGTAGGAATTTCCTTCACGAGTGAAAGTGGGGAATAAGCAAATGAAAATAAAAATTGAAAGCCCATTGAAGCAGAGATCCAATAGACTGTATATCTCAAATCAAATACCCTGTACAAGGGGCCTTTCCCATCACAATATTACTGTATTTTGATGTTTTTGTTCAATTTTCGTATACGTTTTATCTCTTCATTTTATTTTAATTGGCTTCTTGCTCGAAAAAAATTACTGGCAATGTTTCCAAGGTGGAGCAGGGCGATTTCCAAAATATATACGGACAGTAATTTCCAGAGGAACACTGGAATTATCAGAAAATGTTAGCACACTTTTGCGTATCAGAATTATTCAAATGTTGCTGCTGCTGCAGAGCCAAATCTTCCCGATTCCGCTGCGAAAACCTGCACAAGCAGACCAGAGGTAAGAAATTTTAAATGTTAATTCCTTTTACTATTGGTACTAATATATCTAATAACTGATTTTTGCATGTGGATATGCTTTTCTTGTTGAAATTTGAGTTAGACTTGGATAAGATCAAATATATATAATGCTATACATAATGGTTAGGTGTAAAGAATAGAGTGGAGAAGTTTTTGTTTTTGTTTTTGTATGTAAACCATTACATAAACTTATTGTATACATTTAGCACAACCGATATTCTTATGGAAAATTACTGCCTATTTACATTGATTGTTCATGCGCTTTTGTGACTGGTGGGTTTTCATTTTTGGTTAGCACTGAACTGGATTTACTTTTCTTGTTTACCAAATGGGGAATAAAACGATAGAATGATAAATTGCCATTTCTTGTGTGCTACATTTTGTAATAAAAACGTTGCTTTGGAGAAATGTTTGTTTTTATTTTATTTGGTTGGGGGATTGCGATCGGAAAATGGGCAACAGGCTGATATTGCAACTATGCCTAGCTGCGGCCTAACTTTTGGGTTAGTAAGGAAATCACAGATCCATCCAGGGATTTTAGTGGAAGAGAAGGGACGGGGTTTGGGATTTAGGATAATACATGATAATCGAAAGCGAAAACTTTCATTTTTCCAAGAAGTTCTGATTTCGTAACATCGGTATATTTGTACGGTTTGAGATTTAGAATGGTAAATGATAATCGAAGGTGAAACCTTGCATTTTTCCAAGAAATCAATTTCGTAGCAGTGGTATACTTGTTTCTTTTCATGTTTGTTAGTCATTTAGCTGATAGCAAAAACATAAGGCAATACTGTGTGCATTCAAACCGTGAGTTCAAGGTATTTTTGCTTTTACTGGTGGAAATGATTGAACTGAAAATCGTCTGTCTATGTGGACTTTTTTTTTCTCTCTGTTTGTTTTTTTCAATGGGTTGATGAAAGTACTTGCCTTGGTGAGTTTTCTATGAGTTAATGTAAGAACATGTGTTTAGGTGAATTTCAACAAGATGTTTTGGTCCAAGCCTTGTTCATTAGCATTGCCACCTGGTTCACCACAAAGAATTGAAGATCCAAAGTACGAGGGCTTTAAGCGAGTTATCCTTAAGATGATGCTGTTTTATAGTAAACAAAGCCAGTCCATTCGATGGGCAAACGCAATTTACAGCCGCGTTCTTTATCAAGTTGACCGGCCTTCTATTTATGACGGTTAGCATTTTGTTTCTCTTATGCTCATGCTTCTCCTCATGCTCTGATGAGTTGTGGTTTCTTGTGTTTTTGTGCACCATACGTGTTTTGAAGAAAAAAGGCATCAGTTTACATGCCTAATGGTGCAGAATATATTCAAATTCAAGGCCAAACATTTTAACAAAATAAAATAATTTTGTTTTTGTGTAATGTTTTACACGTATTCTATGTCCTTTTTTCTGAGGGGGCGCATGTTTGAGACATGCTGATTGATTATGAAGAACAACAATATCACCATATTTTTCATGCTGTGTTCTACTTTTTAATTTATTTTGCTTGGAAGTTGTTGGAGTGCAAGATTAATAATTTTTTGCTTTTCTTGAACTGGTGTAGTTGTTCAGCTAATGATGGTGTGGGAATGGGAAAGCTAATAACTCCTTAATTTGGAATTAAATGGCAATCATCTTTGGGAAGCAGCACTAGATGGGCTTAGTTCTTAATGCAGGGTATATATATCTCCTCTCTGTTTTTAATCACTTGTAGCGAGTGTTCTGAGGGGATATTTTTCTTAGAAGCCTCTACATTCCTGTTTGTCACACACCCCTTTTGACAAAAGTGCTTCAAAGTTTATGTTTATATATTGGAGGCCTGTCAGAGCTCCTTAGTATCACTAACTCTATCCCAATTCCCCTTGAATTACATATATACATACATACATATATACGTATATATATATATACGTATATATATATATACGTGTATATATATATATATATACGTATATATATATATGTGTATATATATATATATATATACGTATATATATATGTGTATATATATATATATATATACGTATATATATATGTGTATATATATATATACGTATATATATATATACACACCCATATGGGTATTTTAGGAGGGTGAGGTCAATTTGGAAAAGCAACACGGAAGGGGATTGCTCAAAGTTCTTTCTCATGATTAGTTGTTGCATTAAATAAGTAGAATATAATGTATAAAGTGCATCATACAACAAATTTCTATACATGAAAGTGTTGGCATGCAGGTTTCTCATCTTTTGATTATGATCAGACTAAATTGATGCTCATGTTTAATAAAAATACCCAATTTACCCATCATTATTTCTGTTCTTATGCTGTCTTATCTGTACATTTATGTTAGTTTAACTTGAGTAGTACCTTTTACTTGCAGTGTTTAGCTTGGAGAAAACCTTTAAAACAACATTCTCCTTGCTTGTAATCCACATGTGGCTTTGCTTACGCCGCTTAAAAGAAGAGGGAAATGAAGGTGTTGAGTTGGGGCAATACTTATATGAAATATACAATCATGATCTCGAACTGAGAGTTTCCAAGGCTGGGGTCAGTTATCTGTACCTGAATATTTTTTGTACAATTTAGTTCAATGCCATTTAATGTCCTTTCTTCTTCCAAATCCCCACGTAGTATTGTCAAGTCCAAATGAAGGTGTGTGTTATATTCTGTGTCTTCTCAGTCTGATGGAAACTTGATATGTCCATTGAGAACATTATAGATAATTACTTTTCCGTCTAAGCACTTCGTCATTTTATTCCATTCTTGCTTTGACATTGCAGGTAAACTTGCTGTTAACTAAGTGGATGAAAGATTTGGAGAAGATATTTTATGGAAACGTTGTTGCTTATGATGCCTCTATGATTCCTGAAGGAAAGCAGGATCAGTTACTAAGTGTTATTTGGAGGTAAGGCATTTGACAGAATTTTGATTCTTGTATTGGTTTGGCAAGGTTCATTGATGAGTAATATATTAAGCTGCCAACAAAGCTCTGTTGGAAGTGCAGGAAAAACTGATAAACAGCAAAGATAATTGCCGCTAAGTTATCACTGTTTGCCTAATATAGCACTTGGATCCTGACTTCAATTATGTTGGTATTAGGGTCTGCATTCTGACTATTTTGTAGCAATTTCATTTTTTCTGCTGTTTTCTACCTATTAGAACCATTTATCCTTCATGTTACTTGCATTTGAGGCTGCTTTCTTGGGTATCTTCGTAGGAAAAAGATTTTCATAAAAGGAATCTCTTTTTACTTGTTACCAAATTTGATGAAATTTAAGTAAAATTTGTCTCAAATTCATTACCAAATTTTCATTTTTGGACAACACTTCAGAGCTAATGATTCTGATGCACATTATATGTCTGTAGATGTCTTTTGGTATAGATTTTACGCATTCAACAGGGCAAAAAATTAAATGTCCTGGTCAACCACCTCCAAGATTGAATCATCAACTGTTTAAATTATTATTAGGTTTTTCAAATAGCTAACTGGTCGGTTCACTTGGGCCATATTCTAGCAAATTCTTTTGATGATTTATTTCAATTTAATTACTGGACTGCCAGAACCAAATGAAAGTTTTGATCTTGACCAGTACTAAAGGTGGTCTTTTAAATAGTTGCTTGATATTGCCTCTGATAATGGCAATGAAGGCAGTTCCTTTTAGTATTTGGAGAAAGCGCAGTTGCCGATGTTATATCTAGGACTGCGGTTAGGGGCACGATTTAAAAGTACCCATATCTGGAATGGTATTGTGGAAAGGATGGAGAGAAGGTTAGCAGGGTGGAAGCGTATGTACCTTTCTAAGGGAGGCAGACTTACTTTCATTAAATCCACTCTCTCCAATCTATCTACTTACTTTTTGTCATTGTTCCTCATTCCTATTGCAGTGGCAAAGAGATTGGAGAGACTTCAAAGAGAATTTGTGTGGGCAGGGTTGGGAGAGGAGAGGAGACTCCATTTGTTCAATTGGGGAGTTGTTTGTTTGCCAATGATGATTGGGGGTCTTGGGGTGAGGAGCTTTGTGTTGTTCAATAAAGCTTTATTAGGCAAGTGGTTGTGGCGATTTGGAGTGGAGAGGGAAAGCTTCTGGAGAGAAATAATTGGGGCGAAGTATGGTGTGACGGAGGGGGGATGGTGTACATTTGAGGATCGTGGTTCTTATGGGGTGAGTTTGTGGAGATATATCCGACGAGGATGGAGTGCTTTTTTGGACAAACTGAAGTTTGTGGTCGGAAATGGTAATGAGATTAAATTTTGGGATTATTTATTGGTGCGGAGATCAACCGCTAAAGGAGAGATTCCCTTCCTTGTATCGCATTGCCTCAGTGTCCACTGCTACGGTGAGTGATCTCTTAGACATTCATAATGAGAGCTATAGCTGGAATATTACTTTTGGGAGGGATCTTCAGGATTGGGAATTGGAAGATTATTCGCTGTTTATGACCATTTTACACGAGGCCCAAATTCGGGTTGGAGAGAGGGATTGCATCAGGTGGGGGACAGCACAGGATGACATTTTTTCAGTTCGCTCGTACTTTGGTTCCCTCATGGGATGTGTGAATAATTCATTCCCCTATGGCAGTGTAAATTTCCTCCTCGGGTGGCATTCCTATTGTGGACAGTTGTGAGGGGACAGGTCTCAACGGTGGATAATCTTCGACGTAAAGGCTTTTATGCAACTGAGTGGTGTTATATGTGCAAGAAGGACGGGGAGACGATCGATCATTTGTTCATTCATTGTGATGGTGTACGTTGGATTTTGAATAATATACTCAGTTCACAATCATGGATTGGGTGATGCCTCGTCGTATAGAGGACGTGATACGGGCATGGCGGAGAAAACTTCGTGATAAGGATAGCAAACTAACATGACACCTTATCCCGGGCTGCATTGTGTGGTGCATGTGGAAAGAAAGGAACAATCGTTGCGTCGAAGGCCAAACAAAGACAAGAGAGCAGATGAGAGAAACATTTTACTTTACCTTGTATTCTTGGTTTAATGCTGTGGCTAGAAATCTTGTAGATGGGTTGCCTAATTTCATGTTGTTCCTTAATGGCTTAAAAGTGATTGTACACCCCCCGTGTATTTTCTTTTAAGAAAAAAAATTATTTGATTCCCTATAAAAAAAAAAAAAAAAAAGTATTTGGAGAAAAAGGGTCTTTTGTGAACTTCATTTCTCTAGATCTGGCAGCATTGGTTGTTCGTAAATTTAGAGAAAGGTTTGAGTTTTCATAGAAAGAGAGAAGAAGATGATGATGAAGAAAATGAGTTTGAAGAAAGTAAAATCTTAACAGCGACTAGGAGTTTCAGTTTCCGCTCTATCTATTTTGTGAGTTCCATAGCAGTGCATCCTACTAGTAGGATGAGAACAACTACCTACCTAGCTACTGGTCTGGATCAATCTAATGTATTCTTACCTTTCCTTGCTTAGAAAACATAAATACTAGAAGATTATTTTGCTGATTAGCTACAGTATACAGATCTGTCATAATAGGGACCTAAAAGTTAAGGAAAAAAAGAGTTGGGATCCAAGTGCTAGCCTCTGTTTAAGAACATTTAAAGATATTGGATGCTGTGCTTGTTGATACTATTAATGTTGCTGATGTTTACATGAGTTGTAGGAATGTTTTCTCTGATGATGGTTCATCAAAACCAAGTGATGCTACTTTACCCCTTGTCCAGGCAAGCTCTCATCTATTGTGTGTTAAATAGATTGATAGCTACAGAACGTTTGTTTCTTAAGGTTGTTGCTTATACCCGGGTCAATTGGCCATAACCACTTCCAGTAGGAATTCCCAGCCCAAAAGCAAATTAGCTTGTAAAAGAATGGAAAATTCAGCCCAATTTCTTGGTGAAATTAAAAATAATAAAAATTTAGCCCAACCCAGAAATTAATTTTAACCCAACTAACTTCATTCCCAACCCAAGCCCAAAGTTCAATTATTTAAATTTAGTTTCAAATTTAAAGAGTTCACTCGTAATCAAATTAGTTGATTATATAACAGATAATTTTTATTGATTAAAGTAAAGATAAATGTCTTATTTTAACAGATGTCACATGTTTGACTAAGCTTAAAAGTAATTAAAATTTTTCAAACATATTTTTTTATATATTACTTATTTATACTTGTGAGTTAAAAATTTATTTATTTCGACCATGAGATGAATGCTATTATTAAAATAATTAATATGCTCTATATTTACTTTTATCGGTTAAAAATATATTTGTTAGAACTTTGTCATGAGCGTCGAAAAATAAATTTTGACCCACTTTGTCATTAGCTTCAAGAGTAAAACATTTTAACTAAATCTCGAGTGGCAAAGAGCATCTTTTAATAGATGTCACATGTTTGACTAAGTTTAAAAATAATTAAATTTTTTCTAATGTATTTTTTTATATATTACTTATTTATACTTTTGAGTTAAAAATTTATTTATTTCGACCATGAAATAGATGTTATTACTAAAATAAGTAATGTGTTCTATATTTACTTTTATAGGTTGAAAATATATTTTTTAGAACTTTGTCATGAGCGTCGAAAAATATATTTTGACCCACTTTGTCATGAGCGTCAACGATTTAACCTTTTAAACTAAATCTCGAGTGGCAAAGAGCATCTTTTATGGAACGAAAAAAATTCAATTTTCAACCCACTTTAATATATCTTCCTGGCCCTGCCCCCGTTAACTACTACTAATAGTAATTTCTACCTGTGTAAATCATTTGGTTATTTTAGGCGTGGTTGACCATAAAGTTTCCTCATATTTTGGGATACATTTAGCCCCTGTTTGGCCCCATTTTTATGAAGCTCATTTTTCTCAAACTTATTTTCAACCCCACATTTCATAGGACCAACACTTGTATCAAATTTTCAACCGCACATTTCATCAATTTTTATAAAACTGTACTAAATCAGATATTTATCTAAACCAAGCAGGGGCTTAGTCTTTAACAAGGGAAAACTATTAGTCTTTTGGATCTTTACAAGTACAAATTCCCTTATAAATTTATACAGATGCTTGCTACTTACAGTTTTCTGGAGATACAGATTTTTTAGTTCCTTGTATGGAAGGGCATATATCATCAGTTTAACGTATTGAAATTAATGGCACACTAAACTTGATTATTTTTTTCTTTTGAAATATATAGGCCATGTCAAGATATGTACACCGGGAAACTAGATGTTTGTTATTAACAGGTATGCATATATTTGTATATATTGATAGAAATTTACTTTATAAGCATTTGTGCCTTGGTACTTGTACTTGTCTCAAATTTTACGCTGCATTGAAATCTCTGCTAACGTAAAGGTACTAAACGCTTTCGTTGCCCTTCTCCGGGAAAAATAGTAAAATGGATCTCTTCCCTTTGACAAGGGGTAAAATAGAGAGGAAGGCCACACGTCATATTCCTGATCTAATAGCCAATGGCCTGAATGAATGGATTTTCTCGTTATACCAATATTTTACTGCTGCTATGCTGTTTTATGGTCGGACACTCTATAGAAATTTCAAATCTTGACATTTTCCAACTGATTCTATACTTTTTCTGTAAATTTCATTTGACGAGTTACGGTTTTGGTGGCAGACAAAGAAGCCTTATTTACCGGTAACTTTATGTTCACACAATTGGAGAATACAGGAGCTGATTCAATGAAAAGGTAGTATAAAAGAGGAGCAACGGATAGGTGATCTTTATGCATCTATACGAGATGTTCATTTGTTGAAGTAGAAATTGAAGTTTTAAATTGCAGAAATACGCAAGGTGACCAGTAACTTGTGATTAGGGAGTGTGTTTCCACCTATTTTATGCCCCTAGAATTATGATTGAGGATGCATGTCTTATTAAGTTTTTTGATAATTTCTTGGTCTCACATTCAATTAATTTATGATGTAATAAGCCATGCTTTGAGCTTTGAATGTAATGATCCAATACAAACTGCTAGAAATTTGTATTATCTTTTCAGCTATTAGTATTCGTGTTTTTATAACGTTAACGTGTCAATATATATATTTTTTAAAAGAGTATTTAGGGTCTGTTTGATTGTAAAGATGGAATTGAATTGAAAACGAATTCTAGGGAATTGAATTGTCTAGAAATTATTTTCCTGAGAATTGTAAATTATTGTATTTGATTGGTATAATTTTTTACGTGGAAAATGTTGAAATAAAAGTATTTTTTTGTGTTTGTTTGACTTTGTTTTACATAAAAATTGTCAATTAAAGAGATAAATTTTACTGGTAATGGGAATAAAATTTGTTTTTATTGTCAAAAAAATAAATAAAAAAATTCAAGAAAATCATCTATCTTTTGGTGTACGTTTGACTTTGTTTTACATGAAAATTATCAATTAAAGGGAAATATTTTTTTACAATAATTATTGAAATTTGTTTTCATTGCAAAAAATCAAAAAGAAAAATGTGAACAGTAATCGGGAAAATCGATTCTCACCATATCCCACGAAAACAAGAAAATTGCACTTCCCAATAAAATCAAGAATCTAAATTTCATGGAAAATTAAACCATTTCAAACAACTAAAAGTTGGAAAATGCAAGATAAATTTTATTTTTCATAGAAAAATTAACCAATCAAACATATCCTTAGAGAAAATGGGTGATATTTTATTTTGAGAAATATAGAGAAAAATCAACATGTGACACTGCCACCTAACCAACCTACTTGTCTCTGGGCAGAAACAGATTTTATAAGAGGCCCTCTAACTATAAAGTGAAGTTTCAATTGCTCAAACCTAAACATCATAATTTCAATTGAGGTCACCATGTCACATGCCATTAATAAAACTAGCATGAATTACTTGTGTGGATGCTTAAACCCGATCGAATGTTGACATAAAATGGCTTGTAATTGAGCACACATGGTTTCAATCTAAAAGCGAAAGAACACATTTGGTTAATCAATCACTCAAAAATATTTAATAAATCACGTTTATCCACTTTTAAATTGAAAATATGTGACAAAGCTAGTTCCGTCATCTAAGTCAACAATCAATCATGTATTAACATCAATTTCAATTTAATTGTTTAATGGTTCGAGAGCATTTATCAGATTTTATGACTTAAAACAAAAAATTTCGCCTACATATCGTGTTTTGAGATTTGATTTGCGGTTCTCTTATTTCTCAACAATCTCATCACTAGAATTTTGGCACCTCATTACAATTTTTGAGGCGTCAACAAATTGTAATGAGGTGTAACAAAGAATAATGTTAAACGTGCTAGAGCATTAGTTTATGTAACATTATGTGACAATTTTAATTAAATGTGAAATTATGTGACTTATTTAATTGATATTATAAATTTATAATTTAATGCAACTAATATTGTCACTAAGACTGCCGTTAAGTTAAATAGCACATTTTATTTTTATTTTTAATACCTTAAGAATGGTAATGATGTTTATTGTCAAACTTGTAGTTGCAACTACTTGTAAGACGGCTAAAAGACAGCCATACGAACGTCCTTTTTTCTGGATTTTGATGTCATCACACACGCTTTTAAAGACAATAGTGTTTTTTACCCCAGCGATCTGCAGAATTGCAGAAGGCCTCCCCCGCGAGACCCCGCCCTCTCTCTGAGTGTGTGAAAATGGAGGCAAACGCCGGCTGGGACAGCTGGGTTGAAGAAGCGCTCTCAAAACTAGAGGCCCTTAAAATCTTGCGTTCTCTCAGACCCATTTACCTCCCAAACTCACAATTGAACTCCTCAAATTCCTGTGAAAATTTCGAGTTTTTCAGTGGCCCACACAAGTGGGACAGAAGTTCGGTTGAAGTAATCATTTCAGAAGCTACATTCCAGAAATGGCTCCATGACATCCCCAGTTTAGGTACATTTTGTGTCCTTCAATTCTCTGTTGTAAAGGTTTTTTCTCCTCGCGTTTTATCTGTGAATTTTTGTTATTTAAGAGAGAAAATTGTTGGCGCTTTTCATCTGAGTATACATTTTTAGGGTGTTGCTAGCACAGGGGAGCAGATTTGAATGTGAAATAGTGGGAGAGAGAGAGAAAGATTGAGTCTCCAATTGAATTTTCCTTTTCTATTGAATATTCGAGACATATCATTTTTTTTTTTTTTTGGGCATACATATCTGCACATACTTCTGCCCAAATGTATGAATTGACTTACTTTACCAAAAAAAAAAAAATAGAGAGCAAAAATTTCTTGAAGTATAAAAAACAGTTAAATAGAGATCAAGTCTTGACGAGTGGATCGACCTGATACCTTGTTTTATTTTATTTTTTTACCTTATCTTCACAGGGGATGACGGCTGTATGAATGGCGATGAAGGTGCTGATAATGAATCAGCAGCAAGTTCTGGAAAGTTCAGAAAGTTGCTTGTCTTTTCAGGGAATGATTACTTGGGATTGAGTTCACACCCTACGGTTAACAAAGCTGCTATAGAGGTACCGAAGAATTTCTTGTTGGAAGTTACCATAATATTGGTGGAGAATGTTGGCTGAGTAAATTGTTACTTTCTCTGATAACACAGGCAGCCAGGGAACATGGAATGGGACCTAGAGGTTCTGCTTTAATATGTGGATACACTAACTACCACAGATTACTAGAGTCTTCCTTGGCAGACTTAAAAAGGAAAGAGGTATCAGCTCCAACTTTACATTAGGTCGTCAACTGTAGTTTTTACAATGTAATGAGTGTTGAAACATTGGAAGGAGACGGCTCCAGCTTTACGTTCAGCCATAACTATATTTTTATAGAATAACGAGTGTTGGAATCTTGGATTTATTTATGCTTGTTTCAATGTGTTTTGTTAATCATGATCTCCCTTCGCAACTAAATGATATATTTGTTTTTCAGAGAACTGATTCATTACTTTTCTAACATTTTAAATATTAGGATTGCCTTCTTTGTCCGACAGGCCTTTCAGCCAACATGGCCTTTATTACAGCAGTAGGAAATGTTGGCTCACTGTTAGCTGGTGGTAAACCTTCGAGGAATGAAAGAATTGCCATATTTTCTGATGCACTGAACCATGCCTCAATTATTGACGGTATTCGTCTTGCTGAAAAACAAGGAAACGCAGTGGCTTTTGTATACAAGCACTGTGATATGTTCCACCTTGATGCGTTACTGTAGGTCCTCCTTTTCTTTTCTTTGTCCTTATTATCTCCTATAATAAATTTTAGTGGATGCATACCATTATTGGGCATTTTTGTTGTAACAGATCAAAGTGCCCAATGAAGAAAAGGGTTGTTGTAACTGATAGGTTAGTATTGCTTCAATAATGTTCAGTTGTTTGCATTTTTAGTAATCTTTTTGGTTATAAATCTCTTTTTATGCCCTCCATAAAGATAGAAATATAGATAACATCAAAAGTGAAAATTCAGTGAGTGAAGTTCAAGAAGTACTAGTCATTAAGGTTCTAATACCTCAAGTCTCTGTGGCCACATTTGCTGAAGAACCGCTCGGTTTTATGTTTCAAATCTTGACGTTGGAGAGCAACGTATGAGTGATCTTTATCACTGCTATTGCAGTTATTGAAGTGTGATTATTTCTTGTCGAAATTAATGTTTTCCCCAATAATGGGTTGCAGTTGACATTGGTCGCTGATAATCAATACATTTTTCTCCTGGATGAAACTCAGTTTCTATCCTGCCTTTGATAATTGATATATTTTTTGTGAGGCACTAACATAATATTGTGACCTTGTACACTCTCCTTCCTTTAGAATTACGCAAAAAGGGAAGGTTTCCTTGATCCGGACACCATAGTTCTTATTATGTACTGGTCGAATTTTTGTTTTTCATAAATCATTCTAATTTCTTTCATGATACCAGCCTTTTTAGCATGGATGGAGACTTTGCACCAATGACCGAGCTTGTTAAACTCCGTAAGAAGCATAGGTTTTTGTTGGTGATTGATGATGTAAGTTTTTGAGTGTTTGCTATGTATGCGATTGTAAGATGTCTGAGTATTGTATCATGAGTTGGATATTGACTTCAGCTTTAGATGTGGAATCTTCTTTGTTATAATACATATTTTAAAACCACTTGAATGCAGTGTTCTAATATAGTTCTCTTAGGAGGCACAAGAAACACATTCATTTTATTTCATTTTGCTCCTTTATTGCTCTTGACATTTTGTTTTCCTACGAAGGGTTTGATACATCTTTTATAGAAAATAGATTTTTCTTTGTCATTTCATATTCATTTGTTTATATGTATTGATTAAACGAGTGTCATTTTCTGAATTTTTCTAGGCTCATGCAACATTTGTTTGCGGAAAAACTGGCGGAGGTGCGGCTGAGAAATTCAAATGTGAAACTGATGTTGACATATGCATAGGCACGCTAAGTAAGGCTGCAGGTTGCCATGGTGGATTCATAGCATGCAGGTAATTCTGCGAATGTGGCTATCAAGATTTTTGTTTAGGGAAAATATATTAGATGTGAGGGCCTTTTTGATTCTCCTTTTGTTTCACATTGAACTTGTAAGTATTATATTGATGCAAATATGTGTGCCTGAGTGTTTTCCTTTTGAAATTTTTGTTTCATTTGCTTTAGAAGAACTGAGAAATTTCTATTGAGCTTAAATAATTGTTGTTTTGGGTTTAAAATTATTTGAACTGAAGTCCATCTGGAAATCTGAATTAAGGCTATGTTTGAGCCACATTTTTTCAAAAAAATACATTCTTAAACAGTGATTTGACATAACCACACATTTTTCAATAAAATAATATTACATGCAAATCCAAAACTTTTCTTTACTTTTTAATCACACATTTTCCATCAATACATTATTCAAAAATACATTCTTAGGAATATAATGTGGCTCAAACAAGGGCTAAATATTAGCTGCATGTCACATCTTTTCTTGAACTTATTACTTGTGCACTCAATTTTCACACAAATTCATCTTGAATTTAGTTCTTCATTAGTGAAATGATTTTTGAAAAGGGATGGCATCGGGACAGTTTTTACCGAGTACTTACCCCCCTCGACTCCGAATCGGACCTGATTTGAATATCCTAATAGAAAAATGACAGGTTCGGGTATTGTTTTGACACATTTGTAGGTGAGTTGCATGATTCAAATCTTTAACCTCATGACTTAAAACCACCAAGTAGCAAGTAATCAACACTGATCTACAGCCCTTTTTTGTGTCTTAAGAGAACTATTACTTATAAGAAGTACCAATATATAAATATTCAAATCAATGCAAACACTTGAAACTTACAAGCCCTTCTAACTTCTGTTTCTCACCTCCCACCCTCGTCTCCCTGAATCACTACCTGCTTCCTCCACCACTTGCTTCCCCATCGAAGAAGACTCATTAAGCAGGATAATTAGCTTTTTGGTCATTTCTTTGAAACTTGATCATATCAAAAGATATATTTATTATATTTTCATATCATTCTGGATTATGGATTTGTAATCCTCTTTCCCCCTAAATAGCATTACTATACTTTGGGTTCCCAGATTTGAAATTGCTATCACCATCATACTCTTTATGTTATTTGTTTGGGAAATGCCATTTGTACACTCCGCCTCTTGTTAGGGGAGTGTACGTCGGAGTGTACATATAGCAAAACCCTATTTGTTTTTGGGTTGATTCTGCTCGAATCATCACTTTGCTCTTGAAAACTAGGAATTCTGTAACTGTAGATAAACTTTGATGTAATTCGGTAAAAATGATCGATATTTGTTTTTCACTTTGACCAATAGTAAACGTGTAATGCTCTTCATGGATAAATAGGAAATAACCAGATATTTACCAGTGGCATGTATGTTTATTGGGACGGGAATGGGATGTATTGTCCCATACCCATAATGTGTTTAGGACAAGGTATTTTGATGCATTCAGGAATGGGTACGGCCGACTGCCATCCCTAGTTTTGAACAACTTACATATGTAAAAGTTTGAGAAGTGTGTTTTGCCCTGCTTTGTTCACTTTGGTTTAGTTTTCAAAGGGAATTACCACAGATGAATCTTGCGCTTCAATAGAAATGATGACTAAAAGTTGTGTCAATTAGCTATGGGAAGTATCAAATACTTACAAGACATTCCCTCTATCACGGATTTCTAGCCTTAATTATTCATGTTATATTCACCTTTCTACCAAAAGAAAAATGTGAATCGATTAACGCAGCTTTTGAAACAACTTTAATTACAG